AAACTTACAAAAGAAAAGGGAAATTATTTGGTTTTATTGGCGCAACAGAGAAAGGAACAGAAAGGGGATTATATATATTAAGTTAGGGGTTGCTTTTGGGGTAAAAAAAAGGTGAGAGACGGCAGAATATTGGAGAACAGAGACAGAACAGAACAGGGGGAAAGAGGCGAGAGGAATTGCAGTGGCTAGGCGTGCAGCGGCGGCAACGAAGCAATTGAGACTACAATCTTCTTAGGCTTGGATTGCTTCTCTTGTCTCAACTTTTATTGTCGTTTCTATCTCGAGAATAATATTTCTTGAATTGTTTATGCATTTAATTATGATTATCGGATAGAATTTTAATTAGGGATTTGGATTAGCCTTGATTAGATTAATTGACTATTTTTCATGTGTTAATTCTTCCAATTTCAATTTAATAATTGAACTTGATTATATTTATTTTATGTATTTTAATTGTGAATTGTGTGACTGGCCACTGCATAATTCTAATATTAGGGTTCATAAGAAGAACTGACAGGTGAATTATGAACCTAGAACTCGTAAGATAAACACAATTGACCTAAACTAGACATAGCTTTAGGTATTTGTGGTGATATTTGATTGTTGCTTAATGGGTTTAATTAATGTTGGTGAGATATCGACGGATGATCACAGTTAATTGGATACAACCTAGTAGCTCGACGGAGTATTAGGATATATTTGAAGCAATCATCACTATAGTCATAAGAATTAATACTTAGGAGAGTTAGTTAATTATCTAATAGGTGAACCCCAAATCCCTAATCTTTTCTCAATTGGATTTCCCTTTGCTTAAAATTCATAAATATTCTTCTTAATCACATTAATTGCGAATTAACAACTTGATTATTTAAGATAACAGTTAATAGTGTTCTTCGTGGGATCGACCCTGGAATACTCCAGGAATTTATACTGTGATTGACTCTGTGCGCTTGCAGATTATAGCAATCAAGTTTTTGGCGCCGTTGCCGGGGAACACTTTATTAAGCTGTTTTCTTTAAGTTTTTCTTTTCTGATTTATTTAGGTTGTTAGGTTGGTTATTATTTCATTCTTTTTTTTTTTTACTAAGTTTTTGTTTTTCCTATTTTTATTTTATTCTGTTTATGAACGTAAGGCGTTCACTAAGGCATAAAAACGTGGAATTATTTCCTATTGATCTTGAAATTGAGCGTACTTGCAGAAAAAACAGGGTACGAAGGCGGCTTGAAATGGCTGAAAATAATAGAGTGGGTCAACTGGATGACCCCGTACCACCAATAGTTCCACCTCCTCAAAATCAAGCAGCTCAACCACGTCTTCGAGACATCCAAAGACCGGTAATAGCTGTTAACCTTTCTTGCATTCAATTATCTGATGCAGCTAGAAATTATGAACTCAAGAGTTTCCATTTGAATATGCTCCCGACCTTTAACGGTTTGGGAAGTGGAGATGCTTTGGGTTTCATGCGAGAGCTCTATAGTACGGTACAAACTTTACCTTTGAATAATTTATCTGAAGAAGAGCTTAGAATGAAATGTTTTCCATATTGCATGAGGGGCGATGCTAGGCAATGGTTGTTAAATTTACCAGAGGGTTCTTTAAGAACTTGGGATAATGTTTACAATGCTTTCATGTTTAAATATTATTCATCTCAAAAGACAATGGACTATAGGAGTAGGATATGTACTTTCAATCAAAGAGAAGCTGAGTTATTTCATGAAGCATGGGATCGTTTTAAATTGCTTTTGACACAATGTCCACACCATCAATTCCCATTGTTATTGTTGACACAATTCTTTTATGATGGTTTAACTCCTAATTGTCAGTCTCTTGTAGATACTGCTGCAGGTGGATACACAGGTGATAAAAATAGTGATGAATTAGAAGCTATCTATGAGAGCTTAGCTACTAATTCTCGACAAAAGGCAGTGAGAGGTCGAAGAGCTGCTGTGCATGAAATTAGCACACAATCTGAGTTGACAACACAAATGGCCGAATTGACTAAACAGATTAACTTGTTGATGACTCGTGATAGTACGAATAGAGAATTTTGTGCTTATTGCAATATATATGGTCATAATTCTTCTGTTTGTATGGATGCAGAGTCATCGCAACCATCTTATGAAGAGGCCAATTACATGGGATCCAATATGGGTAGGCAACAACCAAGAAATGATCAATTTTCTAATACATAAAATCCAGGTTGGCGAAATCATCCTAACTTCTCATGGAGAGAACAAGGTAATGGTAATGCAAGACCAATGGGACCACTCGGATTCCAGCAACAAGGACCATCAGGATTCCAGCAGCAGCAATACAGACCTTTCCAGCAGCCACCTGCACCACAACAGTCTCAACTTCCTGCTCAGGAGAAGAAGCCTCAACTGGAGGAGATGTTCATGCAATACATGGCTAGCCAGGACACTATGATGAAGAAAATGGATGCAAAAATTGATAAGGTTGCTCAGTCCAACCAAGCATCCATTCATAATTTAGAGGTGCAAGTAGGTCAGTTAGCTAAATTGGTTGCAGAAAAGGATCGAGGTAAGTTTCCTAGTACCACTGAAATAAACCTTAGGGAAGGAGCTATGGCTGTCACCTTAAGAAGTGGTAAGATTTTGAATGAAGTCTTGAAAGAGAAAGAACCCATGAGTGAAAAAGAGAGTGATAAAGAAGAGGAACAAGTGCCTAATTTTGGCTAAAAAAGAGAATAATTTAGGCACTTGTTCCAGCCAGGCTTGGAATCCTGGTTAGGGGGTGTTCACACTAATGGTTCGATACCTGATTCCACAGAGTTTGAACCACGAGATTGGTTCCGTAGGCGGTAGGAGATATTGGGTCGGATTTATGCCGTTCCTAATGGGGTAATTCACGCTTCAGTGAAACCCTAAGCCGTCTACGAGTATAGAGAAAGAAAGAGAGTCAACAGAGACTCAAGAAAGAGAGTCAATAGAGACTCAATAAAGAGAGTCAATAAAGACTCAAGAGAAAGAAAGAGAGTCAAGATAGACTCAAGAAAGTAAGAAAGAGACCTCCACAAAAAGTACTGTATTTTATAAAAGAGTGTATGAGTATTTATATTATTGCACTAGATTGCATAAGAGTATGATTATAATGCTGCACGAGATTGCATATGAGCATGAGTAAATGATTGCACTAGATTGCATAAGAGTATGATTATAATGCTGCACGAGATTGCATATGGGCATGAGTAAATAATTGCACTAGATTGCATAAGAGTATGAATATACTGCACGAGATTGCATATGAGCATGAGTAAATTATTGCATTGGATTGCAAAAGAGTAATATTATAATGCTGCACGAGATTGCATATGAGCATGAGTATGATATTGCACTAGATTGCATAAAAGTATGATTGTAGTGTTATAAAGATTGCATGTGAGTAGAGTATCGTATGAGATTTTATAACGAGAAATTTGAATTAAGAGTTTCCGTTGAGCATGATTATCTTGTTGTAATAGAAGTTCTACTTATCAAGTTATGTGATATGAAGGTGAAAACATGTGAACACCTGTTATATGGTCTTTTAGCATGAACCTATTTGTAAGTATGAATTGCTTTTCAAGCTATTTGAGAAGTTTATATGTTGATAAATCTACGTGAACATTCGTATACATATATGAGCATGCTTGTTGATATTATAAGGTGCAAGCATCTAGAAAGAATGTGATAGGACTAAAGATGATTTGAGATGAGCTTATTGCTATAAAGAATTCATATGTTTTCAAAGTAAATGCTAGAATGCTTTACAGGGTTGAGTGTGGTTATACTTAGCTTCGTGCTAACGGGTGTTTTCTTATTTGTCTATGTGTTGCTTGCAAAACCCCTTTCAGGTGGGCCCAACAGTATGAAGAAGTCGTGTTAGATTAGTCTCGTAGATAGAGATATCTAAAATCTAGTTTGACTGATGTTATGTATGGATTTTAGACTTATTGACTTTATGATTGAGGAGTGATGTAGACTATATGGGGTGACGTATTTTCCCCTTATTTTTTTAGTTTTATGTTGGATGTCAGACTTTTACTTTGTTTCTAGTTTTACCCCCTTTAGCCTGTGCAATCACCACGGAGTGGTGGTTGTGGCGGTGACACTTCCACTATTTATCTTTTAGTTTTTCCGCTGCTTAGTGATGTTAATGACTGTTTATATTTGTAATTAAGAGTTAGAAAAGTGGGGTGTTACAAATTTGTATCAGAGCGGTACGAACCGCGGGAGACTTTGGAAGTTTGACCCCTGAGATTGAGTATAGAAACTCTAAGTAAAAGTCCTAGGAAGGACAAGTTAAGGAAAGACCTCTAAGTTGAAGTCTTAAGATAGAAAAATTGAGATGAGAACTCTAAGTGAAATCCTAGGAAGGATCAGGTTAGGGAAAGTGCCCTAAGTTATGAAAATTGAGATAAGAAAGACTCTAAGTCCAGTGACTAAGTACGAGTATCAGAGTTATGAGAAACTCTAAGTAACAGTTTGGAACGCGGTGAGGTCGTGAGTTCCTTTGTGTTTGCCTATACGTTTTGTGCTTTATCAATATGTTTAAAGTGCTTTTAGATATCTTTTGAAAGTGAAACATAGAAGTTTTCAGTAAGAAGTTAAAGTGAAAGTTAGAAGTTGAGATTGCGAAAATTAAAATTTGAAAGTGGAAGTTTGTAAAAGTGCTAATGTAAAAGCATAAGAGTTTATACTTGTGCCTTGTTTATATGATTTACCAATGTGCTTGTTATGCCTTTGATATCTGCTTCGAGTAAAGTAGAGAAGTAAAGAGAGTAGTTGAAAGAGAAAAACCAAGAGTTTGAAAGTTTAAGCTTAGAAGAGAAGTTGTTCTTGCTAAGTTGTTAAAGTAGATGAGAAGAGATGCCTTTGTTTCTTAGTATGATTTGCTTGTCGCAAGTTTGTTCTAAGACTAGAGAAGTTAGATTCAACTAACTTATTAAGACGTGCTAACAAGAATGATCTGTTCTGGTCATGTTCAAGAGGGTTTCGCGATGCCGCCGCGAAGCGTTAGGGAGGAATATCCTCGCTCCTCAGGACCTGGATCGTCGTCATCCACAGATTTGACTGAGAGTCTGCGCCAGCTCACCCAGTTGACCCATACCATAGGAGCTGCTGTACTCAGTGGGAATAACGGTGGCAGTGATGTGTCCAGAAAGATCACGGGACGCAATCCACCGTGTTTCTTGGGTCAGGAGGATCCGGAAGTTCTTGAGAGTTGGATCCGCACGTTTGATAAGTTGTTTGACGTGGTAGGATGCCCAGATGACCAGCGAGTAGAGGCTGCTATGTACTATCTACAGGGAGAGGCTGATCACTGGTGGGTCATGGAAGGACCGGCTGTCCAGGCAAGAGAAGGGTTTGACTGGGGGATGTTCAAGATGGTGTTGAGAGAGATTCTACCCAGAGCATGTCAAGGCTGCCAAGTATGAGGAATTTTTGCATCTCGAGCAAGGGAGTTTGACCATTCAGGAGTATCATGCCCGCTTTGTGGCACTGTCTCGATTTGCTCTTACCTTGGTACCTGATGAGGCGAGTAGGGCTCGCAAGTTCATTCGAGGATTGCGCTATGATGCTCAGAAATCCTTCTCAGCGGCGAGATATGCTACATTGAATGAAGCTTATGAGGCAGCTGCTGGTTACTCCAGGATCCAACAGTTGCACCGAGATGCCATGCAAGGGATGAAGAAAAAGAATGAAGGGATAAAATCACAAACAAGAAAGGGACACAGGTTCAATCCGACGAACAGGCTTGACCATAGAGGTGGGGAAAGGAAGAACATGAATATGAGATAGGAGCTGGAGCTGGAGGACCACCGAGAGAGGGGACTTCGGTATGCCCGAGATGTGGCAAGGATCATCCTAAGACCACTTGTGGAGGATCACTTATAGTTTGCTTCCGGTGTGGGAAGCCGGGTCATCGAGCCGCTATTTGTCGTTCCCCGAGGACGGAGGGATCCCATGGTACGATCCCGAGCCAGCCACCTAGAGGTCCGATCAACCAGGCACCAAATCAAGCTATGGGACATGGCTATCCACCGAGAGGAGGTCCACACAGAAATGGGAATCAGGGACGAGGTGGAGCGCAGCAAGGACGTACCGGAGACGCTGGACCAGGGAGGATCATGGTCATGGGACAGACTCAGGCCGGAGATCGCAATCTCGAGAAAGGTAACACTCTAACTTGGAATGAGTGTGTTAAATTTTGCTTGGGTGCTCAATTAGATGTGCATGTCTGCGAAATTGTTACGAGTTGTTGCAAGGTACTAAAAGATGTGCTAATCTAAGAGTTTTAGGAATTTAAAAAGTTAATTGAGTTTGTTTTAGAGAAAAGCTTAGATTTGAATGTTACGAATTATTGAACGAGAGAATTAGAAGAATGAAAGAAGATATGAGTAAGAGTGAAAAATAGTTAGGGAAAGATTGAGATTTAAATAAGAGAGATGTCTACCGAAATAGAAGTGTAAACAAGAAAGAAGGAAACGACGAGAAAAGAAGAGGGATAAGAATTTAGCTTAAGAAATTTCTGGAAGAATTTAAAAGTCAAAGGATTGACTAAGAATCGGGATTTATTAAAGTCGAGGACCACATCCAATTTGACCCGATTTAAAGATTTGACAAAGTCGGAGGACCGAAAGAAGTTGGGGCCGGATAACCGACCCGGATGGCGGGTCTAGGTCGCGGAGCGGAACGAACTCCGTTCCATGTAACGGAACGTGGCCACTGACCACGTTAAGGTCCGTGACCTGGATCCGTGTCAGCCGCGCTGATACCGGGCCTTGGGGTGGGCCACTTGGAGGGCCGCTGCCAAGCCCCACCGCTCCCTTCAACCTCCATCAGATTTCCCCGAAATCAGAATGTTGAAATTCATCCCCTTCTTCTTCCTTTTGGCGTAGCATTCTGCCTCAACCCAAATGTAACACCCCAGATTTTCCAGACTTTTAAAACTTATATAATAAAGATAGAATCTCATTAAATCCCAACATACGATACAAAAGAGTACGGGGTGCTATGCCACACCTAAGCTAGAGAACTCAGGTGCACAGGCGAACTAACTAATACCCTCAATAATGTAAACGCATAGACATGGCACGCATGTCGAAAGAGAAACTAACTACTTCTACGCTCCAAATTCTAGCGCGCTCCAGTGACTTACTCTTCTGTGCCTGAAAGCCAAATATATCTGTTCAGCGAGAGATGCTGGCAACCCACTCCAACGCGTTGAAATACAATACATATAGATATATATAGATATACGAAAACCCTTTTGAACATGAAGATATATCCTACGAACTCTAGCTTTTAAACAGGGATAGACTCAGCAGATAGGGTTAAGTACCGACAGCAGTTATACCAAGCATATACAGTTTACAACAGGCAAGGCAGATAAGATAAGCACAATTAATAATCATAACCCAACATATACGATTCCCAATATGAATCCCATAGTCACATCCCCAAGGCACTCATAACAACAACTCCTCCATATCCCATCACATAACACACTTTGTTGGCGCCACAGGACCAATCGCATGTCCATACATGAGGCTCAGCGCGTATAGCTCTGACACGGCCTCGCAGCACCCTGCCCCGTATCGCAACACGGAGGGGTCGATCGCAACCGACCGATGAACCGCAGCTCATCATAGTTTGATCGCAACCAAACAGGGGACCGCAGCCCAAGAGTATGTCATCTGACCACAGCCAGGAAAGTATGAACAGCAGCTCATGTAGAAACGTTTGATTGCAACCAAACGGTGGACCGCAGCCCGGGAGTGTAAATCTGACCGCAGCCAGCTTCTGAACCACTGCTCAGGAATAACCAATTCGATCGCAACCGAATTGGGGTATCATGCACACATAACACATAGCAAGCACATGCAACCCACATTAACACATTGGGAAGGGGGAGAAAACGTATAACAAAACCTATGCATGATCCTTCACATTCTAAGAATAATCATAAGGGGTTCATACTTCTTTCACCTAGGTCAACGGGGTACCAATTCAACTAGCATGCAATATATAAGACTCTCACAACCTACGAACGGTACTCGAAATATCAAACTAGGCATAGGCACGATAGACGGAGTCCGTTGGGACACCACGGGGATCGGGGGAACATCAAACGGGGAAGCCAAAATCCCCGATTGGGGTGCCAACCAACGGGTAGCCGGTGGGTGAGGGTTCACCCGCCGGCGGTAGCAAATCCGGGCAGCGGGTGCCCGGCGGGCAGCTGCCCGCCCGCCGGCTGCCCGCTGCCGGTGTTGCCCAAGAAGGCCGCGGGTAGGTGGCGGGTCCCCTACCCCCACCTACCCCCCACTGACTCTTTCATCACAAAAACGCCCCGGGAACCTTTGTGGAACCCGAAATCATGCTTAGACACTTTCAAACGCAATTGATAACGCACGTAGACAATTAACGGATCAAAATCAAGAAACATACGGCACATAACCTATCATGCTTTTCTAAATATAATCAACACCCAATCATGCGAATTCCCACCCCATATACCAAGAATGATATCATACGATACAACCTAGGGTTCTAATCACTTTTAAATCAACAAGGACACAATTCATCTTCTAATATCAAGATTCGGTAAGAATATCACATAAACATCAAGAACATCTTATAATTATCAAGAACATCATATAATCATCAAGAACGTCATATAATTATCAAGAACACCATAATTATCAAGAACCTCTCATCATCAAGATCACCCATGGAATCATCCTACCAATCATCAATAGTAATATCACAATCATCAATGCACAATGATATGGGGAAATCCTAAGAGGGGAATCATAGCTATGAAAATAGGTTTTGTTGAGACATGGGTTACCTCTTAGCCTTAATTAATTCCTTGGCTATAAAGGGTCTTTCTTTAAGCTTTCTTCTTTCTTGATTTCTCCTAAGGGGATTCTTGGAACTTCTTGTGTGGTGAGAGATTATGGTGGTGAAAGATCTAGGTGCCTCCTATGTCCCTATTTATATATTTAAGACTCATAATTAGGGTCTGAATGGTATGGGTTTACTAATTCTATTCCTTATAGGACTAAGGGCTTATTTTAGGGATAAGGGTCCATGGTCCATAGTGGACCATATTAATTAATTAAAGGGAATCCTAATCGTAGTCTGAATAGTAAAAGGCCTACTTCCTTTATTCCTAATAGATAACTAGGTCTAGGATTCCTAATTAGAATCTGAATAGTACAGGGTTTACTTTCTTTATTCCTAATAGGCTTAAGACTCTAATTTAGGCAAGGATCCACGGTTCATGGTGGACCTTATTAATTAATTAAAGGAAACCTAACCGTATTAAATCATATTTAATTATTATCAATGGGATTAATTAAATAATTAATCCGGGATTGAAGGCCGTAACACGGGGTGTTACACTTTCCCCCTCTTACGAGAAGCTTCGTCCCCGAAGCTTGGAAATCATTGCGGGGGTAACGAGTCCAAAGTCGTATGGTGGTCCTATAGTGAAAGCATTCTACGGGGAAATTGTATAATTGTATGTTTATGTGTGCTGGGTTTTTGGGAACGATTAGGTTTAAAGGGCTAAGAGAGTGGGTTTCAAACCTGAGGACAAAGTGAATTTAGGAATTAGGATCACGGTTTTCAGGGTTGCAACTTAGGGTGTGAGGTTGCCACCTTGTATGGAATTGTTAAAATAGGGGATCAAGAGTGTGGTTGAAGGGTAGAAAGGGTTTTGAAATAAGGAGGGGGCCGATTTTCCGAGGGAGGGAAGGGAATTCATCTAGGATGGGTTAAGGGTTCTTGATCTTCAAGTGACTATTCTGGTTTGATGCTTTGATCACGACGTATTGACGAACTGATGATCCTTCTTCCTTGGTGTTGGCACTTGCTTGACTTTAAGATCCTTGTTAGACCTTGCTTCCCAGGCTAAGGTTTCATCCTTCTCCCCTATCTTGAGGGAATCTCCCGTGATGATTTAACACTTACTTCTTTAATGCATCCAAGGTCTTGACCATGTTTGGTCAACCAAGCCAATCTCTTAGGGCGCACTTCCCAAATTCTCCCCAAAGTTTCTTGGGAGTCGGTAAACTTTGGGTTGATTTTCCCTTCTTATTGAATTTCATCTCCTCTTTAGTGAATGAAATTCTTAGTAAGACTTCATGTCTTCCCCGAGGTTCGACTAGTTGTGCCTTTTTGTGTTACTTTTAATGGTGAAGGTGTCCTTGCATGCTCCTTTTCTTTTTGAAGCGCAGTTGGTTACCTAACCTCGTTGTGGAATGACTCGGTGACTTTACGAGTCATCTCATTTCCTTGTGGGTCCTTAATGAACCTTGAGATCTTGGCACAAATGTGCTTTTTACCTTTTTGCCTAGCACCACGGACTACGTAGTTCTTGATTCCATACAACTTGTAAGGAGTCCTCTGATTTGCTTGAACGATATCCATGGTTTGAAGGAGTCCCGGTCCATCCTTAGCATTTTGACTTTTAAGGTCTTTGTGAGTCCTTAGCACGAGTTCCCAACTCGCCTCTTTGGTTTGCACAATCCTTTATGCCAATCATCCCTAGTCGGTTGTATCGTAGAGTCCAACTTCAACTCCACGTGTAATGCAATTGGTTGTGCTATTCCGATGGTGTCTTGCGTGTCAAGGTCTTTTACCGATGACACCATGTTTGGGCGACCCATGGTTCTTTACCCAAGACTCGCGTTCATTAATCGAGGCACACAGGTGCGCCATGAATCAATAAAGTGAGGAGTTAAGAAATCAGTACATTGTACCAGTGGGCGCGAGGTGGGCGGTCGTCCGCC